AAAAATTATGATGTAAGAATTCACAGAGTGCAAGTACAATGTTAACAGGAACGTACTGGATCAGACTTCAAGGCCAGTATCCTATTTCTAACAGTGACCAGAGAAAGATGCAGAAAACCTGTTAATCCCTTGTAATTAGAAACTGTCTTAAGCCTAGAAGCATGATAACATTTCTCTTTTTTCAAAGTTTCTTAGCATTTATAATTCTGGATATACTTGTTACCAATATGATTGCTGAATAACTGTTTGAGGTTGCTCAATTTCTGGCCTTAGCAACATCATGTGACAACGAGTTCCACAGTGCCATCGCATGTGGTTTGAAAAAGCATTTCCTTTCATTGGGCTTTAATTCACTGAAGGTCAATTTGTTCCTCTGTTTCCCCATCTACCTTCTCTATAGCATTTTTATTGAACATATTTTTATCATGTTCCCTTTTCTTTGACTCCTTCTTATCCTCTAAGGTAGAAATGTGGCTTTCCCCAACCTCTCTCTGTGACCTTTTCTAAATCTCTGACCGTTCTTTATATCTACATCCCTGAACCCCAGTAATTTTGCAATATCCCTTTTTAGAGACATAGGGTGACTACTATGCAACTACAAACCATTCCAGTGTGCACGAAAAATAGCAAATATGGCAGGCAACCAGCTTGGCTTAGGGGAGAACTCTTTGGTGAGTTTAAACACAAAAAATGAAGTTTAAGATGTAAAAGCTTGGACAGATGACTAGAAAGGAGCACAGGAATATTGCTTGGGCATGCAGGGATGAAATCAGGAAGGCCAAAGAGCAACTGGAGCTGCAGCTAGCAAAGAATGTGAAGGATAAAAAGAAAGGTTTTCTACAAGTATGTTAGCAACAAGAGGAAGGTCAGAGAAAGCATGGGTTCCTTACTGAATTGGGTAGGCAACTTAAGTGACAGATGAGGGGAAAGGCTGAAGTACTCAATGACTTTTTACTTTGGTCAGCTTCCAGACCACTGTACTGGGCAGCATTTTCAGGAGAAGGTGAGCAGACCTCAGTGGTGAAAGAATAGGTTAGGGATTATATAGAAAAGGACACATACAAGTCCATGGGGCTGGATGCAATGCAACCGAGGGTCCTGAGGGACTTGGCTGATGTGATTGCAGAGCTGCTGGCCATTACCTTAGAAAACTCATGCAATCAGGGTAGGTCCTGGATGACTGGAAAAGGGCAAATATAGTGCCCATTTTTTCAAAAGGGAAGAAGGATCCAGGGAACTACAAACCAGTCAGCCTCACCTCAGTCCCCAGAAAACCATGGAGCAGGTCCTCAAGTAATCCATTTGTAAGCACTTGGAGCAGAAGAAAGTGATCAGGAATAGCCAGCATGGATTTACCAAGGGCAAGTCACACCTGACCAACCTGATTACTTTTTATGATGAGATGACTGACTCTTTGGATGCAGGGAAAGCAGTGGGCATGGTATACCTTGACTTTAGCAAGGTAGACTTGATCATCGGGCTCAGCAGGGTAGTAATCAATGGCTCCTGTCATGACCCAATGATTGTGTGTGCACTTCAGCACTGCAGAATTGTTTCCCGCCACATGGAGCTTTCTATGCACACAGGGAAAGCAGTGGGCATGGTATACCTTGACTTTAGCAAGGTAGACTTGATCATCGGGCTCAGCAGGGTAGTAATCAATGGCTCCTGTCATGACCCAATGATTGTGTGTGCACTTCAGCACTGCAGAATTGTTTCCCGCCACATGGAGCTTTCTATGCACAGTGCAATTCTCAGCTGCAGAGAGAAAACCCCGGTGCAAAGGAGTTCCCGCCACCCGTATGTAAATTTGTTTCCCACTATTGGCTGTTTCTAAATTATTCCCACGTGGTGGCTAGCGATTGGCTTGCTAGTCGTATAAGAGGTTTGAGCAGTTTCCGCCCAAGTTATAGAGGACTCCACAACCATCTCGTGGGGACTCTGAGCACGCGGCAGAGTACTTGTGTTTGTCTGTAACTGCAACTCAAGAAAGTTTTTCCTGCCTGCACCACGACCACCTACGGTGTAAGTAAAACAATCCTTAATTAACCGCTACGAGTCCGTGCCTAATTCTAGCCCGTCGTGCAAAAGTACCCGTCCTACCATTGCGGGCTCCCGGCCACAGCCCGCCGCACGCCCCCAAAAGCCTCGGACCGCTCCCAGCCCGCACAGCTCCATGTCTAGTTGGCAGCTAGTATCAAGTGGACTGCCCCAGGGGTCAGTCCTGGGGCTAGTTTTGTTCAATATCTTCATTAACCATCTGGAAGATGGAATGGAGTTCACTCTCAGCAAGTTCTCAGGTGACACCAAGTTGGGGGGAGTAGTAGATACCCCAGAGGGCAGGACTAGGATTCAGTGACCTACACAAATTGGAAGATTGGGCCAAAAGAAATCGTATGAGGTTCAACAAGGACAAGTGCAAAGTTCTGTACTTAGGACAGAACAATCCTAAGGACCAGCATAGGATAGAGGCTGATTAGTTGGGCAGCAGCTCTGCAGAAAAGGACCTGGGGGTTACAGTGGACAATAAGCTACATACAAGTCCACAGTATGCCCTTGTTGCCAAAAAGACTAACAGCATACTGGGCTGCATTAGTAGGAGTGTTGCAAGCAGATCAAGGGAAGTAATAATTCCCCTCTGTTCTGCACTTAGTGAGGCCACATCTGGAGTACTATGTCCAATTTTAGGCCCTCCACTACAAAAAGGATGTAGACAAGGTGGAGAGAGTCCAGAGGATGGCAATAAAAATGGTGAAGGGGTTGGCGCATGACTTAAGAGGACAGGCTGAGGGAACCAGTCTTATTAATCTAGAGATGAAAAGACTGAGGGAGGATTTGATAGCAGCCTTCTAACTACCTGAAGGGTGGCTCCAAGGAGGATAGAGCTGGTCTCAAGTTGCAGCAAGGGAAGTTTATGTTGGATATTAGGAAATACTGTCCCACTAGGAGAGTGGTGAAGCACTGGAACAGGTTATCTAGAGGTGGTAGAATTTCCATCCTTGGAGGTTTTTAAGGCCTGGCTCAACAAAGCCCTACCTGGAATGAAGCCAGAAGCTGAAGCCAGACTCCCGCTCGCTGGGGCAGGAGTTGCTCAGCTGAAACTTTCTCCCTGCCTGGAGTGGTGCATCAGGAGCAGAAGGAGGAGCCGCTGCTAGAGGTGAAAAGAGCTGATCAGCACCTGGGCAGCTACAGCCGCACTGGGAGCAGCCCCGCCAAGGGCTTTGCATGCTGGCCTGGACTAAGGCCAGCAGGCACAGGCAGGAGCGCAGTGCTAGCTGCCCCCAGCAGGGCTCAGCCCTATGTGGAGCATCACAGGGGCAGCCATGGGCCAGATCTAACCAATTGGCAGGCAGCCTCTGTGGGTCAGATTCAGTCATTTGGCTGGCTGGATCTGACTCTTGGGCCATATTTTGCCCACACCTACCCTATCATCTCTTGTTTGTCCAGGTTCTCTAACATTATATAAACTGAACTGAAATTAAAAATACAAAGTACAAGTTTTTTACTATCTGTAATTCCCCAGATCATACTCTATTTTTTTTTTAAATTTCTGCTACCCTCCAATTCTCTGATGCAACAGCTACTTTAAAGGGATTGTATACTGCCTTAGGCAGCGATTGAACTAGATGACCTCTGGAGGTCCCTTCCCAGCCCTACTTCTCTTCGCTATGATACTTTGACAAGAACCTTGTTCAGTGATGATGGTCAGTGATGGCAGTTCTTAGCTTAACTCAGTCTGCATATTACGTTATGCATATTCTTTTAACAGAATTTGGCAATTGCTTTGACTACTAAAACAACATGACACTTTTAGTAGTGAAGTACTAACTAATCATGAGACATTACACCAGGAAGAGTTGTAGGCATATCATTTATGATGTCAGCCTGTTCAAGTCTCTAAACCAGTGATTCTCAACCAAGGTGCTGGCAGATTTTTTTGAAGGGTGCCATGAGGTATGAGGAATTGAGGTGTTAGGAAATAAGCTGATAAACTAAGCAGTTAAGCGCAGGCTCAGGCTTGTCCCTGCCTGGATGATCTTCCATCCCCACACCCAGGCCCCTCTGCAAGAAAGAAAGAACTGTAATCTATAAGTTAGTTTGTGAAATTGAGTACCACTCAATTCATAAAAGTTATGGAGGGGTGCCTTGAACCCAACAAGGGGTGCTTTAAGTCCAGTGAGGTTGAAAACCACTGCTCTAAATATACCAGAGCTTCAGTTTTTGGACCTTGTCTGACCTTTCCATTGCTGGCCGAACTATTGTAATGATTGCTAAGACATGCGCAGCACAGGGAAGCAAAAGGTTCTTTTCATTTACAAAAAAATCACATAAAGAGCATGAGACTGTATGGAGCAGACTTCCCTTAGCCTAAGTTTCCCATTTAAAGGGACTCTCTGAACAGACATGAAAACTAGACAATTTTGCCACAGATTCAGGTTTGTTCATCCGCCTATCTTTATTGCATTAAGCAATTGCAGTGACTTCTGTTCATTCAGATCTTCTCATTTTAAGTTGGCTACTCTTTTTATTCAGAAGTATGGTCTGTAGTTAAAAACGTCTAAAAGGATTATCCATTCAGAGGTCATCTTTGCTGTGCTGGAATAGAGGACCAATTTTTTCCTTATTGCAAGAGTTTTTATGCACGTTAAAGAAAAAGAACCATCTTCTATTAGCCAGATACTACAATATTTGTAAAGGAAAATGATTTGTAATTTATGAAAAATATGCAGCTTTCACAGAGGTTCACCTTAAATGACTGTCCTTTGACAGTCTTTTTGCAGTCGCAGTTCTCAAACATTGTGGATAAGCTCTGGCTATAGCTCAAGAGAAAAAATCTAATTTAGTCTCTTAAAAAACAAAGAAAGAGAGAATGACATCCTCTCTCCCAATGCATGACTACATCTGCTTTAGTGTAGACAGGGTTATTCTAAAAAACAAATGCATACACGGTGGGATTTCAGGTTCTTGGCTTTCAGCACTGAGAAGGGGCATGTTCTTACCAGCCAGTCATGTTAAAGTCCCTGTAGAGCATCCTCTTTCCGATTTCTTTACGCTGCACCCTCCTTGGAAACTCTAAATGTGTGAACTCATTTCCCAGCAAGTGCGGCTGCATGAAAGCCTACAGGCAAGAAAACAAACCACAGAGATCACACACTTATCATAAAATGAATTTCATCCATGTTTTATGAGATAACACTGCTATTTCACTCTTATTTTATTTAAAAAATGTGAAGGAAAGGACTAGCTAATACTACCAAATGATATTCACACATATGAATACATTCTAACACACTGGTGTCCGGTGTAGCAAACAAATTGTTCTTGTCCACAATTAAGAGTTACATCTCCCAAAATCCATCAGCTTTTTCCAGTTCAAAAAATGGTAATATTTAGTAGTTCTCTAGCACATTTCATTCATTCATTCATCAAAAGGCAGTTTGCTGAGGTGGGTAAGCTGATTTGCCTTTTTCATAGGTGGGAGATCTGTGGTGGAAAGTGAGCAAGGCCCAAACCCACAAAGAAAGTCACAAGCAGAGCTGGGTGGAGACACTAACTTTTCAACCATCCAGTATGACAGTACTTGTCAACACAATCAACTATTGTTACTAGTGGACTATAGTCCTTCCCTTTCCTTTCCTTTTTTGTGTCCTTATGCAACAAGGTACTTAGCAGAATTTGCAGATTTGTTGGAATCTGACAGGGCAGCACTGTGAGTGCTTTTGCTACAGCCTCATGCAACCCCTGGGCCATCAACTGTGTGTCTTAGTGCCTAAGCCACCCCAGCACCCATTGTACTATGGTAAACTTCAGTGAGAAGACAGATACTTCTGATGAAGTAATCTGTTGCTTAGGAAAGCTGATGCATCTCCAGTTCAGTTAGTTCTGCCTAACTTCAGACTAACATGGCTAGCTACCAATTTTCAGTGAGCCAGGTAACCCTTATTTTTGTAGTAATTTCAAAAACTACTTTTCTTCTGAAGAACAGAGCAGTTCTGACACTTTTTTTCTATGCTGTTCTGGTTCCTAACAAACTGTCTATAAGAAATAAACTCTGTCACACAATATTTGTGTTCACACTATTTTTCTTCCCCTCTGAATAACATTCTTAAGTTAGATAGATTCAGTCACAATTTGGGCAATATCTTATAAATATTGATGTGTGCTCCTTTGCACAAGAAATTGAGTGTTCATCCAAAATATTTTGAGTATGCCTGTTGGGAGTTGCAGACTTGGGTGCCTAACAATTCTTTTTCTTCTGTAGGACAGACTCCCAATCAGAATTTATTTCCTGCAATGCATCATAACTGTGCGCCTGGTGATGGAAGCTCAGGCTTCATGGTAGCTGTAGGCTTGGATGCATCATAGGAAATAAAGTCCAGAACAGGGAGTCTGACCCACAAAAATGGAATGGGAACCCAGGGTACCAGAATTACAACTGCCATGAGACAGAGCAGCATTTCAAAACGGAAATATGTCTGAAGAGAAGACTGAGGAGGGATTTGATAACAGTCTTCAAATACCTCAAGGGCAATTATAGACAGGATGGAAATGAGCTTCACTCTGTGGCCATATGGGACAGGACTAGGAACTACGGCCTCAAGCTGCAGCAAAGGAAATTTAGGATGGAGATTTGGAGGATCTTTCTGACTATGAGGGTGATCAAGCATTGGAACAGGCTACCTAGAGAAAATGTGGAATCTCCATCCTTGGAAATGTTCAGGACCGGGTCACAAAGACATTTCATTAGGATGGTTTAGTCAGGGACATAAGCAGAGTGCTGGACTAGATGACCTCATGAAGTCTCTTCCAGCCCTACTTTCCTATGATTTTATTATCCTATTTTGGATACTGGCCAGACAGTCTGGATTTTTCTTCCAGGGGTTCAGTTTTGAAATGAATTACCGACAGTATTAACAGGGAATTTAATTAATGAAAAAAATCTATTTTTGTCAAAAACAGATGATGTTTTTTGATCAGCCTTAATATTTATGGAATTCTGCCAATACCTCTCAGTCTTGATCTGCTGCACTCTAGATGTGGTAACTGTTGGCCTTTTTAGAAAGGACTCCTTGCTCTCCTTATTAAAAACATGATACTTCAGTTCAGCATTGTGTACATTTTTATTTTTGACACAAAGAATTTATTCATAAATCACCCAATATAAAAGATTAATCTATTTAAAACAGCATGGCTGAGCATACACAAATTATAAAGAATTCCTCCAACTTGTCTATGCATAAGCAGATGCAAAGTTTTTTGCATTTATAGATAGCCAACTGCTGCCTGAGACACGTGGCGTAAAATTATACAGAAATGGCCACATACACTTTCAGTTCCTTTTGAGATGGCCCATTTTCCCCTACTGTGTGGGTTAAGGCAATAAAATCTGCTTTATCTTCAGTAGCAGTTGTAGTCAGGATACACCAAACGTGCTAGCATTAGTTTCTAGGAAGGCCATAAATCTAGTGCTCAGCAAAGGTGACCTGGATGTACTGGAAATCTTTGTTGATCTACCTGGTGGTTCTAATTCAAATAGCTCACAATAAAATATTTCTTCCATTTAGGCTTGAATCTGCTCCCACAAAATTTAACTGAGATTGGGTGTGGCTGAACACATCACAATTCCACAGTGCCTATCCACTTGTTCCCATTTTGGTCCATCTTTGGAGGAGGGACCTCTAAGCTTTATGGAAATGAAGTCTAGGAATATGTTCCAATCTGCTGATTAAACCGTACTCTACTTTTAATGGCCAACTTTCAAGCAAAGAAGGGTGATCTTGACATTATGTTGGAACAGCATATCAATTCTCGGCATACAGTTGAAAAAGTCCAGACAGCAATGTTGATTTAAGTACAATCTAATCTTTTAAGCTCCTCAACAATACTGTTCTATAGGGCCATCTAGATGAATCACTGTTTTTAATCAATGAAATTATTGTAAGGCATTATGATCTTGGAGTCATTATCGATTCCAAAATGAACATGGGTTGCCATGTGAGGACGCGGTCAGTAAGACTAACCGCACCTTGTCATGCATCCACAGATGCATCACAAGCAGGGCCAAGGAGGTGATCCTCCCCCTCTATGAGACACTAGTCAGGCCACAGTTGGAGTACTGCATCCAGTTCTGGGCGCCGCACTTTAGGAGGGAGGTGGTTAGCATCGAGAGGGTCCAAAAGAGGACCACTTGCACGATCCAGGGACAGCAGGGCAGACCCTACCAGGAGAGGCTACGGGACCTGAACCTGTTCAGCCTTCACAAGAGAAGGCTGAGAGGGGAACTGGTGGGCATCTATAAACTTACCATGGGGAACCAGCGGGGAATGGGAGAGACCCTGTTCACCCGTGCGCCTCCCGGAGTAATAAGGAATAACGGCCATAAGTTGTTTGAGAGTAGGTTCAGGCTGGACATCAGGAGGCAGTACTTCACAGTAAGGGCAGCTAGGATCTGGAACCAACTTCCAAGGGAAGTGGTGCTGGCTCCTACCTTGGGGGTCTTTAAGAGGGGGCTTGATAATTACTTAGCTGGGGTCATATGAGCCCAGTTCTCTCTCCTGCCCAAGGCAGGGGGTCACACTTGAAGATCTACTTGGGTCCCTTCTGACCCTACATCTATGAATCTATGAAAAGGCGAGGCTTTGCTTTGTTTTTTTGGGGCATTTTTTTGGTAATACCTTATACTGGGCCAACTGTGTAGTTGGGAAAAATGCTGAACAAACTTTCTTGTACAAAATGCCCTTCTTCACGTCTGACCTGAGTTTCATTTTGCACCTAAAAGCTTGCGCAGCAGCTCTCTCAATTATACAGTTGATCCAATATAAGATATTCCCATAAAGAAACAAAAAACAAGAAACCCCACAAAACTAAAACCCCAAGAAAACCCACCCCCCTCCAGCCTCTACTCCAAAATCCCCAAACTAACAAAAGACCACTTTGCCTCTTGTACATTTTGGGCCATCATAGCTACAGCAGTTCAGAACTAGTACAACATGTAAGGCATTACTTATTTTAGAAAACATCTAGAGATACTAAACTAGCCTTTGAAAGAGGCCGTCTTTACTTTTAGTAGTTTAGAAATTCAGTTTTTAAAATATACCCTATCATTGTATTTTTCTTTCCTCCTCTTATATTGAAAACTATATATTCTAGGCAGGTTTGATTCTGCATATTACATTATAAAAACTATTTGGTAATTACAGATTAAATGCTGACAACCAGGCGGGTCTTCCTAGCTCATTTCAGTGGTTCTTTTTAAAATTTAACTGGAGTCTTAAACTAAAAAAAATTAATATTAAATTGTACCTTTCTGCATTAATTTAATTTATTTTATTTTAATCTCTCACACTGACAAATGAATTCAGGAGTATACAAACCTTTTCCCTTCCATTTTTAAAAAAAATAAACAAACAAATTATCCTGATTAAGCCATTATAAATGCAGAAAAGCAAACATTGCATCATCCCTCATCCTGATCATCAGGAATGAAGATTAATGTCTACTACCTTTTACCACCTTTTCCTTTTTAAACAGGAAGCACAGTTTAAAAAAATACACCTAAAATCTTATTGTTAAAACAAACAAACCCATACATTTGATTATTATTCACTGGGTCATAGATGGCTTTACAAGAAATTAAGTCATAAGTTTTTAGCATTTTTCCCTTGAAAACAAAATTTCCATTACTGCAAAAGAAAAGCAACTGGGAGCGACCACATTTCATAAAGATTTACTCAGATGGAAAGTTTAAGGTCACAAGTGAAATAAGATTAATAAAGCTGGCAGAGCTACCACTGAACTGCTAATGTTTAAATAAGATTTCTCTTCTGCAGCCAAACCTCATGTTTGATTTACAATCTAGGGATCTTAACTTGATTCTAATATTTTTGGCATTAGTAAAAGAGAATGGGAGAAGAGGAATCTAGAAGCTGCTGGTGTTTGAATGTGAGCTGTATTCTTATGTGGCAAAACATTTCTTTTGCAGTTATTCTTGACGTTTCCCTGGTAATTCTACAAGGAGACAAGAATGTGCTACTATAATATCCAGCACTGACTTCTTTCAGCCTGACTTGTTGAGAACTAGTGTTCTCTATTTACCACATGGCTCTTCTTTCCCCTCCC